TTCAACTCCCAGAATTCCTGAGCCAGCATGGGGGAACTATGGCCCCTTCATGACTTGGGGACTTCAACTCCCAGAATTCCTGAGCCAGCATGGGGGAACTTTGGCCCCTTCATCACTTGGGGACTTCAATTCCCAGAATTCCTGAGCCAGCATGGGGGAACTATGGCCCCTTCATGACTTGGGGACTTCAACTCCCAGAATTCCTGAGCCAGCATGGGGGAACTTTGGCCCCTTCATGACTTGGGGACTTCAACTCCCAGAATTCCTGAGCCAACATGGGGGAACTATGGCCCCTTCATGACTTGGGGACTTCAACTCCCAGAATTCCTGAGCCAGCATGGGGGAACTTTGGCCCCTTCATGACTTGTGGACTTCAACTCCCAGAATTCCTGAGCCAGCATGGGGAACTGTGACCCCCCTTATGACCTGGGGACTTCAACTCCTAGGATTCCTGAGCCAGCATGGCCCTAGTTGCCAACTTCACGACCTATGGAATTCAACTCCCAGAAGTCTCAGCAATGGCCATGCTGGCTCAGGAATTCTGGGAGTTGAAGTCCACAGGTCGTGAAGGAGCCATAGCCGCCCATCTCTGATCTAGATTCTAAGATAAGGTTGCCAAATCTTGGCCACTTCCAGGCCTATGGAGTTCAGCTCCCAGAATACCATCCGTAAATGAACTGCCTCTTCCACACTGCCCAAAAGGATAACTATGGGGAGGGTTGTGGGGAGAAATTGTGAGACAAAACAAGCCACAAGCTGCTTTGAAAAAAAAAAAAAACAGTAATGCAGGAAAAAGACATTAGAAATCGGTGCGACAGCCGAGACCGGTGGGTGGGCGCGTATATTTCATATTTGGCTGCGAAATTAGATCTCGGAGTAATAGTATCTCAATACATCTGGGATTGGTTAGATTACTTAAGCGATGGATTCTGTGATGTTTCTACGATGGTCGTTTTCGTTTTTGTATTCCTGCAGTGAACAGGAAGTCCGTGGTTGCAACGGCCCCCTTGCCACGCTGTCGTTTTGTGCTCCACACATTTTACGCTGTCCCAGGGGTAGGCAACCTTGGCTCTTTTATGACTGGTGGACTTCAACTCCCAGAATTCCTGAGCCAGCCATGCTGAGGGGAAAGGGAGAGGTTTCCAAGCTGAGCCATGCTGGCTCAGGAATTCTGGGAGTTGAAGTCCACGAGTCATAAAGCGGCCTAGGCCTAGGCCAGAGGTAGGCAACCTTGGCTCTTTTATGACTTGTGGACTTCTCCCAGAATTCCTGAGCCAGCCATGCTGAGGGGAAAGGGAGAGGTTTCCAAGCTGAGCCATGCTGGCTCAGGAATTCTGGGAGTTGAAGTCCATGAGTCATAAAGCGGCCTAGGCCTAGGCCAGAGGTCGGCAACCTTGGCTCTTTTATGACTCGTGGACTTCAACTCCCAGAATTCCTGAGCCAGCCATGCTGAGGAGAAAGGTAGAGGTTTCCAAGGTGAGCCGTGCTGGCTCAGGAATTCTGGGAGTTGAAGTCCACCAGTCATAAAAGAGCCAAGGTTGCCTACCCCTGCGCTATCCTGATGACCATGTTTCGGATGGTCATCTTGGGGTGATCCCAACGGTGCTTTTTTCAAGAGGCAACTGGACTTTTTTGGGTTTTTTTTTAAGATGTTTCATTTCTCATCCAAGAAGCTTCTTCGGTTCTGACTGAATGGTGGAGGATGGAAGGATTTATATTTCTTGCAGTCATCTGGTTATTAGTACTCTCTCTGAAAGTCAACATTAAGAAAACCGAGATCGTGGCATCCGGCCCTCTCAATTCCTGGCAAATAGATGGGGAAGAAATGGAGGTAGTGACAGATTTTATTTTTCTGGGCTCAAAGATCACCTCAGATGGGGACTGCAGCTAAGAAATTAAAAGACGCTTGCTCCTGGGGAGGAAAGCTATGGCAAATCTAGACCGCATACTAAAAAGCAGAGACATCACCCTGCCAACAAAAGTGCGTATAGTCCAGGCCAAGGTTTTCCCATTTGCAATGTAGGATTGTGAAAGTTGGACCGTAACAAAGGCTGAGCGCCAAAAAATGGAGGCCTTGGAACTCTGGTGCTGGAGAAGACTCCTGCGAGTCCCCTGGATTGCAAGGTGATCCAACCGGTCAGTCCTAGAGGAGATCAACCCCGGCTGCTCTTTAGAAGGCCAGATCCTGAAGTTGAAACTCAAGTACTTTGGCCACTTAATAAGAAGGAAGGACTCCCTGGAGAAAGGCCTAATGCTGGGAAAGACGGAGGGCAATAGAAGAAGGGGACGGCAGAGTGTAATGATAATAATATTAATAATAATATTAATAATAATAGGAAGGGACCTTGTAGGTCATCTAGTCCAACCCCCTGCTCAGGCAGGAAACCCTATACCATTTCAGACAAATGGCTGTCCAGTCTCTTCTTAAAAAGTTCTGGTGTTGGAGAAGGGAGGGAGGGAGGGAGGGAGAGAGGAAGGAAGGAAGGAAGGAAGGAAGGAAGGAAGGAAGGAAGGAAGGAAGGAAGGAAGGAAGGAAGGAAGGAAGGAAGAACAACAGAGTTGGAAGGGGCCTTGGAGGTCATCTAGTCCAACCCCCTGCTCAGGCAGGAAACCCTATACCAGTGATGGCGAACCTTTTAGAGACCGAGTGCCCAAACTGCAACCCAAAACCCACTTATGCATCGGTGGGTGTGGCCCATTGGCTGGGCGTGGCTGGGGCGGTAATGGCAGACTGGGTGGGACTAAAAAGTTCAATCAATCAGTTCCAACTTTGCAAGATCTTTTTTTTTCCCCGCGAGAAGTTGAAATTGATTGATTGAACCTTTTTTTTTTTTGCACACAGCGGCGGAGGCCTAAAGCGAAACGGTTTTATAAAACCCAGCTGAAGGCCCAGGACTGGGGCGACGGCACGCGTGCCCACAGAGAGGGCTCTGAGTGCCGCCTCTGGCACCCGTGCCATGGGTTCGCCACCACTGCCCTCAACCATTCCAGACAAAGGGCTGTCCAGTCTCTTCTTAAAAACCTCCAGCGTTGGAGCATTCACCGCTTCTGGAGGCAGGTGGTTCCACTAATTAAAGGGGAAAAAAATGGAATATATTTTGTAAGCCAAAACCGGGACTTTCTAAGGCTGTGTGATAGAGCTGCAGCTTCGGAGAAAAAAAAAGCCCCAATGTACCTTATTAAGGGAAAACATCTATAACGTCGCACTAAATTGCAGAATCCACGGCTGCCAAAAATCCTCCCCCGGGAGGCAATGTGCATGTAAAGATGTCAGTGCCGTGAAAAAGAAATTGCACACTTTGGTGTGAAGGAGTCAATTCACCGGGGAGGTGTGAATTGTTAAAAAAAAGAAACAAGGTAAGAGGTTGGCCGCAATGCCACAATTTAAGCCGGTTTGTTGCGGACTTTGCCTTGAATTTTTTTTTCCGGTCCATGCGGGAAGGACACCTTTGAAATTTACAGGTATATATATATATATATATGTTTTCTGAGGTTTTCGCGGGTATTTGTATATAGGTCTTTGGTTGTTCGGGGGAGAAAACCCGAACAACCAAAGACCTATATATATATATATATATATATATATATATATATATATATATATAGAGAGAGAGAGAGAGAGAGAGAGAGAGAGAGAGAGAGAGAGAGAGAGAGGTTTTTGGTTATTCGGGTTTGCTCCCACGTAAAATTGAAAGTGTCTTCCTGACGTTTTGACGAAGTCCCATTCGTCATCTTCAGGCTGGTGTTTTCAGCTTCGTGCTTCTAGGAGCAAAGCCAAAAACACCATTGCTGAAAACATCATAGCTCCTAGAAGCACGAAGCCGAAAACACCAGCCTGAAGATGACGAATGGGACTTCGTCGAAACGTCGTCAAGACACTTTCAATTTTACGCGGGAGAAAACCCGAATAACCAAAGACCTACATACAAACACCCGCGAAAACCTCAGAAAACACACACACACACACACACACACACAAATATATATATATAGAGAGAGAGCAGCTAAGACAAACTTACAAACATGATACAATACAGGGAGTCCTTGCCACGGTTGTAAGTGTGAAAATCGGTTGTCAGTCATCTTTTTTGGTGCTGTTGCAATTTCAAATGGTCGCTAAACGAGTGGTTGTGAGTCAAGGACTAACTGTAATCAGTTCTGACAATATTACCTAGTTGGGTCATGAAACGTCTGCAAGAAAACCACGAAGCTCAGAGAGCAACAAGGACCCCACAGTCGTCCTCCTTCTCTTTCTCCTTCTCCTTCTCCTTCTCCTTCTCCTCCTCCTCCTCTTCCTCCTCCTCCTCCTCCCTCACCACTCCCTTCTAGCACTGATGATGTTACTTAGTTGGGTCATGAAATGTCTCCAAGAAAACCACCCAGCTCAGAGAGCACCCAGGACCCCACAGTCCTTTTTTTCCTCCTCCTCCTCCTCCCACCAAATTCCTTCCCTTCTAGCACTGATGACGTTACCTAGTTGGGTCATGAAATGTCTGCAAGAAAACCACCAAGCTCAGAGAGCACCAATGACCCCACGGTTGTCTCCCCTTCCTTCCTTCCTTCCTTCCTTCCTTCCTTCCTTCCTTCCTTCCTTCCTTCCTTCCTTCCTTCCTTCCTTCCTTCCTTCCTTCCTTCCTTCCTTCCTTCTAGCACTGATGATGTTACCTAGTTGAGTCATGAAATATCTGCAAGAAAACCACCAAGCTCAGAGAGCATCAAGTACCCAACAGTCGTCATCTTCGTCATCGTCCTCCTCCTCCTCCTCCTCCTCCTCCTCTTCCTCCTCCTTCCTTCTAGCACTGATGACGTTACCTAGTTGGGTAGTGAAATGTCTGCAAGAAAACCACCCAGCTCAGAGAGCACCCGGGACCCCTCATTTCAACCCTGAGCTGCAAATATTCTCCCCCATTCATCCACTCACCCGTAGCCTGCCGGGCCCCCCACCCCAGGCCCTCTATCCCCTGTCCCCTCCCACACCCCACCCCTCCCTGCGGACTGACCTTCCATCAGGGTGTGGTGAATGCTCCAGTAGACACTCAGGCAGTGCTTCTCCTTCTTCATCCCCCGTTTACACTTGCAGCCGTAGAGCTGGCTGGACAGGAGGGTGGTGAGCGTGTTGCGGCAGTGGCTCTTGGCGCCCGGGCCCAGCTTGTTGGCGCCGTTGCCAGCGATGCACTGCCGGAGGGTGCGGAATTTGGAACTGCAGCTGGGATCATTGGTGCAGGCTTCCCCAGCCTGGAGGCAGTCACGAGCTGAGGCGATGGTCATGCCTTCTGGAAAGGAGCAAGGAGAGCGGGAAGAGAGAAATTGAGGCATTTCCTGCTCCCGCGGGGGGGGGGGTTGGACTAGATGACCTCTGGGCTCCCTTCCCGCTCCCTTCCTCTGATTCTAATGGGATCTGCTTGGAAGGTCCCAGAGGTAATCCTCGACTTACACCCACATTTGTTTGGGGAACCACAGCACGGCTAGTCCGCAAATTACGAGCCCGGAAAATTCTGCTGCTAAACGAGACAGTCGTTGCCCCGTTTTACAACATTTCTTCTCCCAGTTCTTAAGTGAGTCCCCGCAGTTGTTCAGTTAGCGACACAGCCTTTAAGCGGATCCGGCTTCCCCCGTGGACTTTGCTGGTCAGAAAGTCGCAAAAGGGGATTGCACGGCCCGACCGTCATAAGTGTGAGTCAATTGCCAAGCATCTGAATGTAAGTCACGCGACCTTGGGGACGCTGCAGCCATCGTAAGTGTGAAAAACGTTCCCAAGTCGCTTTTTTCCAGTGCCGTTGTAACTTTGGTCACTAAATGAACGGCTGCTGTAAGGCGAGGACTAGCTGTCCCAACAGTCCTCGCTCTTACGACCATCTCAGCCTCCCCGAGGTCACGTGACTCTAAATTTGGCACTTGGTTCAAGAGATTTGACTCACCCTACCACATGGGGTATTACGTGAATAAACACTTGTTTGAATATGATTAAAAGAATGGAGAACTTTGAACATAAAGGGGCCCTATAACAGGAGGGATAAGAGATTAATAACAACAACAACAACAACAACAACAGAATAGACGAGAAAGAACTGGAGAAGATAACAAAATATAAAGACCTACAAATAGAAAGACTTTGGCAAAGGCAAGCAAGGGTAGTACCAATAGTCATAGGCGCCTTGGGTGCAATCCCAAAACAACTGGAGCACCACTTGGACACCATCATCGGCATTGACAAATTCGCCTTTAGTCAATTGCAAAAGGCAGCCTTACTAGGAACTGCTTCCATCCTGCAACGAGATCTGTAACACCATCAAACATCCACATCTGCCTATCCCAGGTACTGGGTAAGGACTCGATAGGTAGACAAAATGCCAAATCCAGTCTGAACATCTGGCTGACTGTGTGATTAATAATAATAATAATAATAATAATAATAATAATAATAACAACAACAACAACAATAAAGTTGGAAGGGACCTTGGAGGTCATCTAGTCCAACCTCCTGCTCAGGCAGGAAACCCCACACCATTTCAGACAAATGGCTGTCCAGTCTCTTCTTAAAAACTTCCAGTTTTGGAGCATTTACCACTTCTGGAGGCAGGTTGTTCCACTGGTTAATTGTTCTCACTGTCAGGAAGTTTCTCCCCAGTTCTAAGTAATATAGTTATGTTTTACAATATATGAAATGTAAAAATGTTGGGATGATGTAACTTTTATAAATATAAGTGAAATACAAGCTGATCAGAAAGGATGTTATACACTCAGATGTTATAAGATAGATAAAAAGCACAGCATTTTTTATAATATACGAAATATGAAAATATTGGGAGGGTGTACCTAAATGGGAAAAATTTGGATATTTAATGACTAACATGGAGAAAATCATGACTGATAAGAATGGATTGAATAAAAGGGGAAATTAAGCTGAAACAAAAACCAGGAAAATAGAATGCCTGGTAAACTAATGAGACGATGGTTATAAGAATAATATATTGTAAGCTGATTAAAAACAAAACGTTATACATCGATGTTATCCCTGTCTGTATAAATACGAAACAAAATGTCTACATTTAATCATTTCTGTATTTGAAAACATTAAGAAGTATATTCGTTTAAGGTTGAGGAAGGAGAATACAAAGGGGAGAAAGGAAGATCAAAGAAATATATGATTAATTAATAGACGAATGATGGAATTATGGAATTTAATCCTTATCCACTGTTCATTCATTATTGCCTTTTTTTCCTTTTCTTTTCTTTCCCCTTTCTCAAATCTATAAACCAAGACGACACGCTTTACACCAGGCAGTGGATATCGTTATTGTTAAAAAACGATAAAATATTTATAAAAATAAAAAAATTGGCGCTTGGCAACTGGCGTGTTTTACGACGGTCACCGAATCGGAATCACGTTTGATTCCCATTTCCCACCTTCCCAGCTGATCCCCGACCAGCCGAGTAAATGGGGGGAAGTCGGATTCATTTAACGGCCAACGGGATTCACTTAAACGGCGGTCGAGAATGTTGTAAAAAAATAAGGGGGGGGGACTCCTTGCTTAGCGATGGAAATGGCGATCCCAGTTGTGGCCATGTTTGAAAAACCTTGATTTAGAGGTGAGTAAAATATCTCAACATCTGAGCAATAAAGCAACGGGAGATCTCATTACAGCTGCTTCAAAGAATGTTTTTTCCTTTCGCAGACTCACTAATAAGGGATCTATTTCAGATCTCGAGACTGTGGACTCTTTTTTTTTTCTATTCTCTCTTTCCAGCACAGTAAGAGAAAAACAGAGTTGGAAGGGACCTTGGAGGTCATCCAGTCCAACCCCCTGCTCAAGCAGGAAACCCTGTATCACTTCAGACAAATGGCTGCCCAGGGTCTTCTTGAAAACCTCCCGTGTTGGAGCATCCACAACTTCTGGTGGCAGGTTGTTCCACTGGTTAATTGTTCTCACTGTCAGGAAATTTCTCCTTAGCTCTAGGTTGCTTCTCTCCTTGATTGTCCTGCCTTCAGGTGCCTTGGAGAATAGCTTGACTCCCTCTTCTTTGGGGCAGCCCCTGAGATACTGGAAGACTGCAATCCTGTCACCCCTCGTCCTTCTCTTCATTAAACTAGACATCCCCAATTCCAGCAACCTTCCTTATATGTTTTAGCCTCCAGTCCCCTGATCATCTTTGTTGCTCTTCTCTACACTCTTTCTAGGGTCTCAACATCTTTTTTATATTGTGGTGACCAAAACTGGATCACACACTTCTAGAGAACATACACTACATGCCTGAGCCTGGGGTTGGACTAGAAGACCTTCATGTTCCCTTCCAACTTTATAATTCTGTTACATGACTATATATGCATCATTTATCCCTTGGTGAGATAAACAATATTATACATAAGTGCAGAAAGGTGTGTAGAAATTGGGGTCCACAGCCTTTTCACAAAGGCCAATGGCTAGAACTGGTTTTTTATATATATGCTCGAAGCACGAAGCTGAAAACACCAGCCTGAAGATGACGAATGGGACTAAACACTGCAGCCGAATTCACTGGATTTGTTGGTGGGATTGGGACTGCAACCATAAACCAAGATTGTCACAGCAGTGCACCAACAAAAGGAACTCAGCGAACGGTGCCCTTCAGGAAGATCTCTGCTTCAAGAGACGAACAGCGGGGAGGATATTTACCGCCCTGAGTTCTTGCGGTTTATGTCAAAATTAAATGCTTTAGTAGCTGGAGGGTTGCAAATGACCTCTTCTCTGATTTGTATCATGAGGGAGAGACAGGGAGAAAGAGACAGAAAGAGTGAGGAAGGGAAGGAAGGAAGGAAGGAAGGAAGGAAGGAAGGAAGGAAGGAAGGAAGGAAGGAAGGAAGGAAGGAAGAAGGAAGGAAGGAAAAAGGCAGACAGACAAGAGAAAGAAAGAAAGAAAGAAAGAAAGAAAGAAAGAAAGAAAGAAAAAGACAGACAGATAAGATAGAGAGAAAGGAAGAACAAATCGAAGGAACGAAGGAAGGCAAAAAGAAAGAGGACAGGAAAGTAAGCAAGCAAGAAAGAAAGAAAGAAAGAAAGAAAGAAAGAGAAAAAGACAGATAAGAAAGAGAGAGAAAGGAAGGAATCAAAGGAAGGAAGGAAGCAAAGAAGAAAAAGGACAGGAAAGAGAAAGAAAGAAAGAAAGGCAAGAAAGAGAAAGAAAAAGATGGATAAAAAGAGAAAGGAAGAACAAATGAAAAGAAGGAAGGAATAAATGGATGGATGACTAGGTGGATGGATGGACGGATGGGTGGATGGATAGGGTAGGTAGGTAGGAAGAAAGGATGGAAGGAATAAATGGATGGATAAATGAACGGGTAGGTAGATAGAAAAGAAGGAAGGAAGGAAGGAAGGAAGGAAGGAAGGAAGGAAGGAAGGAAGGAAGGAAGGAAGGAGGAGGGGGGAGGGAGGGAGGGGAAGGAAGGAATTAGGGAGGAAGGTGGAAAAGGGAAGATAAGTAGTTAGATAGACAGGTTTGGCGACCGGTTCATACTTACGACGGTTTGCAGTGACCCGGGTCACGTGATCCCCTTTTGCGACCGTCTGACAAGCAAGGTCAATGAGGAAGCCAGATGCTCTTAGCCACCGCGTGTCTAACTTCACAACGGCAGTGATTCACTTAACAACTGTCACAAGGTCGTAAAATGGGGCAAAATTCGCTTAACAAATGCTCACCTAATGACAGAAATTTTGGGGCTCAGTCGTCGTAAGTCAAGGACTTCCTGCGTTAGACTTGTCCGTTTGGTTTTTCTTGCCTAAATGTAGAACCTTAGTATTTCCCTCCCCCCCCCACACTGAATTTAATTTTATTAGACAGGGCCCCCTTGTTGAGCAGGGGCTGGACTAGAGGACCTCCAGGGTCCCTTCCAGCTCTATTCTATTCATCTGTTCTCATGTTCATTACTCCCCTTTGAATGAAGAGCTGTCTTGTTATTAATAATGCCCATTTGCGAGGCTAATCTTGCTAAAGTTCAGACCTGTTGGGGGGGTGCCAAATAGATTCCCCCTCCCTCCCCCCCCCGTTGCATCGGCCCGGCAGACGCACAGTTGTGTATGTGAGAAACAACGCCGGAAGATTTACAAAGAGGGAAGGAAAATTGATCAGGAAGTTTTACCGGGAAACCACGTCCTGTTAAGATCCCCGTCGCTTGGTTTTTCAAGCTTGCCATCGACTCAGCCTTAAAAGGGAATTACATTTTCTATTGCATAATCAATTGGGGTTAATGGACCCTCTTGGGGAGGGGGCATAACTTTTCCCGGTCCTTCCAGTTGGT